CGGCATTTTGCTTGCTTGAAAACCGAAACTAAATTTTTTAATTTGCCGAAATTTAGTAGTTTAGGCAAACTTCTATATTCCTGACTCACTCATAATCTTTAACTGAGCTAACAAACCCACCTCAGCTTCCTCCTGTGACTTGTACAAGCTCGTGTATTTCTTGTAAAATTTGATGGGTGAGAAATCGGGTAACATATTAATAACGAACTGAAGTCCAGAGTTCAAAGTGTCGTCGTAGTTATCTACAAGAATAAAACATCATGAGCATTCCAAAACAATTAATTAAGACAGCAGTGAAAGTCGACTCCAAAGGAGTTTCATAAGCAAATTTTTACGATCAGCCATTAATGCATGATCATTATTAACCTTAGATGATTATAAGAAGTGTCGAAACAACATTAACCATTGATGATCACACACACACACGTGTGGAAAACTGTCTTTAAAGGCTTGAACGTTCAAAACATTATAATCATTCTCATCTTCCTTTATTGTATAAAAGGTTGAACTGGCTGCCCATTCCGAGAATATTATGATGCAATTAAATGTTAGGGGAGCACGTGAGCTCTAGGATTTATCAATTGCATTGTTGTCAAGAAACCTCTCACTTGTCCAAAGCCTTCCAAAGGACTAGGTGGTCTTCGCCCGTGAACAAAAATTCTGCAGTGTGTGAGGCGCGTTGTAAAAACACCTAACTACGTCTTTTGAAAATGAAACTTTTTATCAAATAACAACAAAAAGACAAGTAATGTTTTATTTATTTTAATTTATATATAAATATTAAATATTAAAAAAAAATTATAAGATAAATCATTAAAACTATTGTTAATGTTGGTATCTTCATTTTCCATATCTCCTTCATTACTTTATTGATTTCTATCATTTTCCTTTCTAGGATTCATTTTTTGTTGGTAGAAATTTTTTACACTTTCAGTTTTTTCTTCTGATGAAATACTTTCAAGACACATTATTACAATATGGTGCCAAATGTTGTTGTAAATTTTTGGGCAAGAAATTTTCCAACACATTTACAATAATTGCATGTTTCATTTTTATTATCAAAAAACAGACTTTAATTGTTTTATTTTTAAAGAAAAAGGAATTATTACTATGATTATTATTACTATTATCGCTACAAGGAATATATTCAGTTGTTTGTTTATTTATTTATTATAACAACTTGGGGCTTGTTATGGTACACTTCGTTTTATTATGGAACCTGGTGCTAAAGGTTGTAGTTGTATTTGGAAAATCAAGATCTACTCATGAAACCTGATCAACCAATGCATGATTGATTACGTTGATACAACAGTTCATTATGTTATGTTAAAGCAAGTTGTTTTAGGCATCAAAGTAAAAAAATCATAAATAATCTTAATGAACAACTTGAAAAACCTGATTTGCCAGATATAGGCAGTTGTTTTGGGGACTTTTCTTACTACTTTCACAAGCTGTCTTTCATCACGGCTTGATAATTTTTTAGGTCTGCCAGTCCTAAGAGCTTGCAGTTGTTTTGTTTTTTAAAAAATGTCATTAACGGTGTTTTCAACTGCTTTTTTTTACTATAAAATATAAAATAGAAATAATCTACATAGATCAACATATAAACTCTTAATAATAATAATAATAAATAAAAATTCTTAAAAAAAATGAAAGAAAATACTTGTCTTATTTGTATTGATGGTTGGGGTATTTCCTCAGGAGATGCTACTGGTGATGCAATTCTTAATGCAGATACACCTATAATGGATAAATTTAAGGCAGAATATCCTTATACAACATTAGAGGCTCATGGTTTGGCTGTTGGGTTGCCTGACGGACTCATGGGTAATTCTGAAGTTGGTCATTTGAATATTGGTGCAGGTCGTATAGTTTATCAGGTGAATAAGAGAAGGAGAGATATAATCTCTTTTGAGTGATAAATCAAAAGACAAAAAATCAATTAAATTATTACAACTATAAAAATTAGGATATTGTAAGAATTGATTTGGCTGCTAAAAAAAAAGAATTTCTTAAAATTGAAAATATTAGAAAATCTTTTGAACATGCCAAAGAAACATCAAACAGAATTCATTTTCTTGGTTTAGTAAGTATACAACTAATTATGAATATTAACAAGTAAACAAATTAATCAGATTAGTTTAAATCCAAATTAATGATAATAATTCCTATCTTTATCCTTATTATTTAAGGTGTCTGATGGAGGTGTCCACAGTCACATCAATCATTTGACCTGCCTTTTGGAATCTGCAAAAAGTATAGGTATTTGTGATGCTTATGTGCATTTTTTTGGTGATGGACGTGATACCAATCCTCGTTCATCTGATAAATATCTTGAACAGCTCCAGAAAGCTTTAGATGAAATTAATTATGGTAAAATTGCTACCATAACTGGAAGATATTATGCTATGGATAGAGATAAAAGATGGGAAAGAATTAAGCTTGCAGTTGATGCTTTGACTCGAGGAATTGGTGAAAAAACTGATGATCCTTTACAAGTTAGATGATTATATATTATAATTATTATTAATTAGTTGATGTATTTATATATATTGATATTCATAAATTTAGGTTATTCATGAACGGTATGGAAAAGATGAAACTGATGAGTTTTTAAAACCAATAATTGTTGATAAAGAAGGACTTATCAAAGGTATCTTTTTTATTATAAATTAACAAATTAAATAGACAAAAATTTTTTGTATCAAAAAAAAAAAGGCTTTAATTAAATATTATCATTATTATCATTGTCATTATTTAGATAATGATACATTGTTTTTTTTTAATTTTCGATCTGATCGAATGCGTCAAATTGTTCAAACTTTTGGTATTTCACCACCACCATTTGAGATTGAGATTCCAAAAAATCTAGTATGTTATTATAAAAAAAAAAAAATAAGAATTATAGCATAAACATATTTTTATTAATTAAAAATGAAACAAATTTTTACTTTATTTAGCATATCATAACTATGACAAAATATAAAACAGAATTTCCATTTTCAGTGGCATTTCCTCCACAAGTTATGGATAATGTTTTAGCTGAATGGCTTTCAAAGAATAAGGTCCCTCAATGTCATGTTGCAGGTAATAATAATATACCATTACCAATATTATTTATAATTTTATAATGTCTTTTTTTTTTTTATGTCAAGAGTCAGTAATCAAATGTTTATTTTTATTTTTGGGGTTCTTTTAGAGACTGAAAAATATGCACATGTAACATTTTTTTTTAATGGGGGAGTGGAAAAACAATTCGAACTTGAGCATCGTGATCTAATTCAATCACCAAAAGTAGCAACCTATGATCTCAAACCAGAAATGTCAGCATTGGAAGTTGCAGAAAAAGTTGTAGAAGAAATAGCTTGTGGAAAGTTCCCTTTAGTTATGTGCAATTTTGCAAATCCTGATATGGTGGGTCATACAGGAATTTATGAGGCAGCAGTGAAAGCTGTTGAAACAACTGATAAAGCTATTGGTTTGATATATGAAGCTTGCAAAAAAAATAATTATATACTTTTTGTTACATCCGATCATGGTAATGCTGAGCAAATGAAAGGTGAAGGCGGTAATCCTCATACTGCTCATACTTGTAATCCAGGTAATAATTATGATAATAATAATAACAATAATTTTTAAATATAAACATTAATTATTAAATTTATATATTTATATTTAAAAGTTCCCTTTGTTATGACATCAAAGAATCATTCATTCATTGAATCTGCAAAAGGTGCATTGTGTGATGTGGCTCCCACAATTTTAGATGTCATGGGGTTAGAAATACCAAAAGAAATGACTGGCACATCATTATTAAAAAAATAGAAACAGAGCTATCAGAAGTCTTTTAATATTTTTTTTTATCATAATATTTTTATCATGATATTTTTATTGTTTAGCATCATTCTAAAGGAGTGGGAGATATGGACTCCACACTAATAATAATAATATATCATTATTATTACTAATTAAACAAGTTTATATAAACAAATTTTTAAAAATAAAAAATCCATATTTATTTATTTACCTTGTAATAGTCCTACATTAACTTCTGAACTAGAAGATACTGATGCAATGGTTCTATCATAGTCTGAATTGGGATGCCATGCAAAATCAACAACTTTAGACCTAATAATTAATAGTATATATTAGTTAATGGAAAAAAAAATAATAAAATGCATATTTATATTTTGTGTGTTTTAATTTACCGATGTCCTTTATGTGTAAAACACATCCCAATTTCTTCTTTATCAATATTCTAAACAATTAAATATTTAAGGTTAATAATAATAATATGATTTTAATGTTGAAGGAAGATTAAATAAAAAATATTTACTTCTGAATTCCATATAATAACTGTATTATCATCTGAACAACTTGCAAATATTGATTTAATATGAGGCGACCAGCTTACTTTATTTACTCCACCAATATGTTTTTTAAAAGTATGTAATGGGCATGGCTTTTTTTTTAATAATTTATAAATATGAATATATATTGGTGCATATATATAATATATCAATTCATCAATTTAATTATACTTACTAAATTATTAAGAATTCCTTTTAATTTACGTGTATCCCACCATTTAATAGTGCCATCCACACCCGCAGTTAATAGAGAAGTTTCTACATATGGATTATAATGACAACTTGTGACTGAATCAACATGTGCGTTATCAACCTTATATAATATAATTATGATTACAATTAATAAAATAATATTTATATAATGTTTTTTTATATAACAAAAGAATAATAAAAACCTTATCTATTATTGATCTTTTACTTTTATAATCACAAATTATCAATTGACCTTTACCAGATGTACTAGATATAACACTAGTTCCATCATCTCTACTGTCACATGAAGTTATTTTATTTGTCATGTAGTCTTCATTAAAAACATTTATGATAATTTGTGGTATTTGACCTATTATAAAAATTAATCATGTAAATCTTAAAAGTTATCATTGTTATTATTATTATTAAAATATTGAAATTTGAAATTACTTTCTAAGCCTTGTTGACTATTTGAAATATTCCAAAGTGCCAAACAACCATTGTCAGCTATAAAGTTAATTTATTTTTAAAGTTCCGAAAAATGAATAAATATAAAAGCAAATATTTTCTTATCATTGTAGCTATTATTATTATTATTTACTCACTACTATTGATCACAAGTTTTTTATTCTCAAGTAGACAAAATGCTGATCCAATCTTATTATTAACTGAAGTTTCATCAACACCAAATTTCTTTAAAATTTCATAACTATGAAGATCATTAAGATCCCTCATATCCACTAAATAAATGCATTTATCTGTACTCATGATAATTTTGTTATTTTCTAAAAATCTAAAGGTAAACAATTTGAAAATTAGTTAATGAATAAATGATATACATATATATCCACATAGGTATAATATAAAAAAAGTTATTTACCTCATTTGATGAATTAAAGGTATCTCAGAAACATTAAATTTATTAATGTACTTTGTATATATTAAAATATATAAAAAGACATCAATAAAGAATTAAAATGAATGAATCAATCAATTTGAAACTTATGATAATAATAGTAATAATAATAATAATAATAATAATAATAATAATAATAATAATATTTATAAAATTTACTTGAAACTTAATATTTTTATTCCATTTTTGATGAGATTTAAAATTTAATATATTACTTTGTGGATACATTTCACATTCCAACTGATTTAAGAATGATAAGTTGGAATAATTGATTGTTGAATCATTAGAAACTAGATAAAAGAAATTAGAAAAATTTTAAATTATATTTATATATTATAATTAATACAATTAATGTGCACAAACCACAATATAATCTAAATTTTTCGGCTTTATTTTTTCTGAGTTTAGTAGTAATGGAATTTCCCCATTCAATTGTAGAAAATGAAAATGGCCTTTCATTCCATTGAGTATGTTGTGAATAAACCATACCATATCCACCAATAAAATTGGTTTCCCAATCATTTTTATTACAGTAATTCATAAAATCCTAAAATATACAAATATAAGCAAAATAATTAAAATTTTTTAATAAAATGTACATAAAACAAATCAATTAATTAATAAAATTTTGTTTTTTAAATACTGGATATTTTTTTTTGGTGTTTTTATTTTTATTTTTATGACTTGTATCCTTATGAGTTGTATCTTCAAGGTCAATGATATTTTTATAAGTTGTATCAATATCTTGATGAGTTATATCTTCACAAATAATACCTTCACAAGTTCTATTTTCACAAGTAATCTCTACATAAGTTAAGTCCTTATAAATTGTATCTTTATGAGCAACGTTTTTACGAGTTGTATCTTTACAAGTAATATCTTTATGAGCAACGTTTTTACGAGTTGTATCTTTACAAGTAATATCTTTATGAGCAATATCTTTAAGAGCTGCATCTTTATGAGTTGTATCTTCTTTATGAGCAATATCTTTAAGAGCTGCATCTTTATGAATTGTATCTTCTTTATGAGCAATATCTTTAAGAGCTGCATCTTTATGAGTTGTATCTTCTTTATGAGCAATATCTTTAAGAGCTGCATCTTTATGAATTGTATCTTCTTTATGAGCAATATCTTTAAGAGCTGCATCTTTATGAGTTGTATCTTCTTTATGAGCAATATCTTTAAGAGCTGCATCTTTATGAGTTGTATCTTCTTTATGAGCAATATCTTTAAGAGCTGCATCTTTATGAGTTGTATCTTCTTTATGA